AGCCAAGTGCGGTCTAGAGAGTAATTCAAAAATAAACAAATAGAACCAAAGAGTAACTTTATTCTTTTATTCAAAGTTTATTAAAATACAAGGACAAATTGTAGAAGCACACATACCACTCAGCACCAATATAATAACACTCTTTATTTCTGCAACCAAGAAGCAGAGATACACACATGCATTCTCACCACATTTACCCAGTACTCATAGCATCATGCCCCGAATATTCTCCTTGCTGGGAAGACAAAGATGGGCAGAAGCAAACGAATGTGACTACATCCAACCACTAACTGAGTCGATGACTCTTTGGTCAGTAGTTATCATTCGCACACTGGTAGCCTCCACACATCTCAATCTCCCTCTTCGGGGGCCCAATTATTTGGGCTAGTGATGGAGTCTGGTGATAATGTGATGCAAAACTAAAGAAAACTGGCCAACATTCCCTACCCAATATCTTATCATGGCTTTGGTTGTATAATACTAGATACTCATGTTTCCACATCCTCCAATTCTAACGCACATGAAAACCACACCCACCAGTGACATGGTCTGGAGAAATCTTGGGAGAATTTTATTTATTTCCCAACACCTTCTGTGGGTTTCTTCCATTTATGTGTTTACCTGTTCATGTTTTTAAGGGGGTAGGAGGAGTTTTGAGCCAAAATTATGACTTCATTAAACATTGCTTAGGTCTTCAAAGTCTCCTCAATAAATATTAAATAAACTCCCTGGAGCTCTGGTGCTGCTGCCCAATACAGGCAGCAAGCCCTGACTTGCATGAACAGTCTTGTTTGGATATCTGTACATGTTTGCTTTCTTGGTTTAGACTCACTGTGGAATAGAACTGGGTCTCTTAAGACTGAGGCCTTGCTTCTGGTGCTATCCAGAAAGTAAGGCATTAGGAAATGGCCCTTTGGCTCATCCTAAAGTCACTCAGGCCTCCTCCAAAGGTGTGAAGTTTCTTTTAGAATTTTCCCAAATACGCACACCAAGGTCTTCCCACGTAACCACTTCCTGACTCTCCCAGGCCCTGCCCCCTTCTTTCCTAGAGGACCTCAGGATACTATCAAGAGAGTGCTGACCACCAAGCAGAGGTTGGTACTTGTGCTCCATTCTAGAAATACATATCAAGACTGGGTTTAGCTTCTATTTTAAAAATAAAGGAGGAAGTAAGGAGGAGGTTTGAATATAACAAAAAACACTTAAGCTCTGATTTTTGGCAATATCTTTTTTGTTTGTTTTTAAAGTTCCTAGAATTAAAAGGCTCATTGCTATCGTCAACTGTTGAGAGATCCAACATTGGACATTGGGCATGTTCTGAAAAGCTCTAAATGGTGGTAAAAAAGTTTTCATTAACTCTTCAATAGGACAGACATCAGTGTTCACATTTTTCTCTTTGCAATGGCCATGTGATTCTAATTGAGCTTATTTTTCAAACTATCGGTCAGAGTTCAGGTGTGCTCAACTTGATCCTCTTAGGATTTACAGAATGGGAAGTCCTGTACAACAGTACATTCCTTGTTATGGACATAGCCCATAGGACATGCTAAGGCTACCTTGCATCCATCTGGGAATTTTCCCAAAGGCCTAGATATTGTCTTTCACCTGCCTCTCTGGTATTTTATCTAGCCAGGCAGTTCTCATGCATGACCTCAACATATTTCCTAATTTTTATTCAAGAGCCCAACTAGTGAAATACACTCAAGCAAAATGAAAGGCAGCAGTCTTTTCTTTTCTCCATGGTCATAGAATAGGCATTTCCTGATTAGTGGCAGGATTTAACTAAATCAATATGCCATTTAGAAGTTGATATTACCAAAAATCAGGGGAACGTTCTATAAACAAGGTGAAGACATAGGACCAGAGATACAAAACATAAATATAAACAGTCAGATAAGTTAAATGACAGTCACTTTAGCTACACAAAGCAAGAACAGAGGTTCTAATTTGTTTCTAAGGAGGTCAGTTACATTTTAATGTCTGTATCAAACATGTCTACTTTACTGTGCAGGCATTTTATTCATGCCCAATTAAGAAAGTCATTGTTGATTCCACTAATATTTTCAAATATAAAATAAAAAAAATAAAGTAAGTTTTGAATAGTTCCAAGACGCAAGTCTTTCAAACACTACCTGTCTGAGAGAATCCAGAAGCTATGACAATATCTAAAATTGCTCAGAAACTATTTCAATAACAGACAAGCTAATTCAGTTTAAGAGGATAAACTGATAGCTCCATGTAAACACAGGGGGAAAAGATGCTTAGTTGCTAAGAAGAACAACTCAAAGTTTTACATATAAAATTTTAAATATATAAAAGTTTTGCCTTGTGAAAATAAGAACTACAGTTTTTCAAAGGAACATACTTTATAAAGACAGGATTGGTGGGGTGGGTACTGACAATCTAATAATTTCTCTGAGCATGTCAGCTAAGCATCGATTCCCTTCTACCTCAAACTATGAGTTCTCGTTAAGTTCATAAAAGATACATCACAGAAAATCATAAAAGTTTATGTTGAGATAAATAGGTTACATAATTAAAGACTTATCATAATTCTGATAACACCAAGCCATTCTATATATTGTAGGATTCCTGAGCTTTGTCAATTCATTTTCTCCATTGGCCCCCAACAGTCTTTCTTCCAGTGACTCTTCTATGTTCTATCGAACATATCTTTTTCCCTGATATTCAGCCTATGCCTTTGTATGTCTATTTCCACTGCCTCATTTCTCCATTGGATGATCCTCAGCCAGAGGAATTGCACGCACACAACTTTCTCTTTCTTTAAAAATGTATCACAACTGGGTGATTTTTTTTTATCACCCTTTCCCCAGACAACGAGCACTAACTGCCTTCACTGAATCTCATCCCCCTACCAGCTTTTCTAACATCCTGTTCCATTATTGTACATATAGAACAAAGGGGAAAGTTTAAGGAAACAGGGTGGGTGTGCTGCAACCAATTGATCTGTTATGTGCCACAGAAATCTCAACACCATTATGAAGATAAAAATCAATGGGGCCCACTGATAAGCCTTGGGTTATAGAGTTTAACTATATAACTCTGAAATAATCCATTTTCAATGTGATTTTTTCAGAAATTTGTGTCACATTGTCAAAATCTGCTTTGTTTCTTTGTAGGTGTACTTTGTAGAATTTAAATACTGAGAAGCTTAAATGTTGTATAAAGAGTCAGTTAAAATGGCCCTTTAATACCTAAACAATAAACTGACCAGTGATATGATTACTATATTACTCCAATCTAAAAATAAAAATAGATTTCTGGTTTTTGCAAACTCAGTTCTCACATCTTTTTCACTTCAGGAAACTAGTTCAGAAAGTTATTTTCAACTTTAGATATCTTTTTATATTAATTTTATTTTATGATTCAATTATTAATGGAATGGTCATAAGAACCTTTGATTTTACATATAAATAAAAACATATACTGTGTTTAATAGTGTCCTTAAATTTATGATAGAAAATTTGTAGGTCTATTACTTATGTTACTTATAGATAAAACTATCATGTCTTCATTTTAAAGAGATATATATACCATAAATAACTTTATATTAATGTACTCTAAAGGCCTTAGATTACTAGACCTTAGCTAATAGAAACAAAGGAAGATTCAAGTCCAAATTTAAATGTCAATGGCTATTCCATTTTACCAAATTCCATACTACTAAGGATTGCCTTTGACGGGAATTATCTCAAACTAATTTTCCCTTCTATTTTGCAACTGAAGAAACCATGTTTGTTTGTACTGGTCATTCATTATAGCTCACCTACTTTGAAATAAAAACAGGGCTGTAGTTGAATGGGTAAGACACCTACCTCCCACAGCATCTGAGAATGAATGTGTATACATATTTTGAACCAAAGAGCTCAGCATTGATTAAACACTTCTATAGAGATCAAGGCGAATAGAGCCAGGCAGGGGGTATGGGGTGGGGCCAGGCTAGAAGAGGTCAATAGGGAAAAAGGGGGACATATGCAAAACTTTCAACAATAAATATTTTAAAACAAAGAATGAGTAGGGCCACATCACAATTGTAGAGATGGAGTGGGACAGATCAGTACTACTGGATCCATTGGTTTTACCTCTCAATGGTGTGGGTGCAAATCACCCACTGAAAATATACGCACCACAAATACATTTCAAAAAGTAATTATTAAAAAAAACCCTCAGAAATGCAAATATTAGAGTGTGTTTTTCCCTTTCAATTCCCCTTTCTCCCTTAATCTAGGAGTATACTATGATAAATATATTGATTCCCTACATATATTCTCTATGCTACTTTTAGTTGAGCTACTTATTTTTCTGGTCTTGTGTATATTTTCATGTTTCTGTGGATAAAAAATTACTCTCAAGGTGAAGCTCTATGATGCTTCCTAATCCTTCTGCCTCCTTTTCCTAGCTAGTCAACTTGATTTTCCTCATCTGTCTTGAAAGTAACTCTCAGTTTTAGATGATCATTCTAACCCTTCAGGTAGGAATCATTCTTGATATCTACAAAAACACCTGTGAGCTCTGGGATGTTTAGACTGGTATAGAGCATTACATGGCTAGAAACTAGAACATCAGAAACTAACATTTAAACACCAAGGTCCTAACCACCTGGCCTGGGTTCAAGGCACCATTGTAAATAAATATTTAAGAATATTTTAGTTGAGCTCTATCCATGCTGAATAAAGCCTAGGCAATACCCCTTATACTAACAATAATGGTAGCTTCTTCTTTAACATGGTAGTTATTCAGGTGAGTCTTTTCTTCAGATCCCAAAGCATGCATCAGCTGTCGCAAACAGGGCTTCTTCCTCTCCTTCTTGGGATCTTTACAATCAGAAAAATTTTGAAGTTTCTTTTAGAAAGAGAAGTGATGGGGCTACTATTTAGCCAAATGCTATTTTGGGTGTTGAAAGAAGCATTGAGATGATAGAAGTTTATGTTCTTCTGAGATGTAAATTCCTGTCTTTCAGTGAGGCAATGAGATTCAGTGGAGGCAATGAGATTCAGCTGAACTAGTGGATTCAGTTCTTCACTTCCTTTCATATATATATATACGCTCCATTACAATCATACCTTTAACTAGTTAAATCTAGATTTCATCTCTTGTTGAAATTCTTCTCCAGCCAATGCCGGACTTCTTGGAGGTTGTAGAAGAAGGGACCCTTTCCTCCCAGATAAGCAATTTTCTGTCTCTGCACAATACACACACGTTCAAAGGCTACCCCATAGGCTACATTGGCATTATTGTCCATGCGGTCAGCCACAACTCGGCACTGGGGCGGCAAGGAGAAACGCTCCAGAAGCCGGTGGGCAGCTGCACATCTGTCTTCCTGGTTCCTGTGCTTCTTCACCTCAAAAGACAAGGAAGAATCCCCAGGCACCGCCCAACCATCTGAAGGATGAGCCTCATCAATATAGACCAACAGGAAGTCAGCCACTGATGAGAACTCCTCTATCAGTTTGCTGAAGGCTGGCAGCTGGTTAGTAAAAGGAGGTCAAGTGGCTGAGCCGAAGTTGACCACCAGTGGGCGCTCAGGGCAGGCAAAGTCAAGAAGGTGGCACTCGGCTCCAGCAATTATCTTCTCCTGGGCACCATTTTCATTGTCGTCGCCTCCTTCAGGATTGGAGACCTGCACCACACTGGAATTGGGGGCATCTTCACCCAATTTCACCTGGTTGTGAATAAAGAAAGAGGAAGAGCATACCACATTAAACACATTGTCACTTCAATTCACTCTATATGAAAACAAGTGGCTCTAATAAAATGTGGTGAACATATATTGATTTGAGTAAAGAGGCATCGTGGCAGGTAACGTAAAGAATGGCCCCACAGAGAATAAAAGTCTTTTTCATTCCGTGTAATCACTGAAGGTAATTATTTTTATCATTGAAGGCACTGCAGCTAACGCTCTTCATAATTAAGTTGAGGCTGGTATTCTTCACTGTTCTTACTTTGCTGTCAATGCTTAGCACGCACTACATAACAAATGATTAATTGACTTCATTTAAAAAGTTAAATGGTCTACTCTAAGACAAATTATCAGAGTCGTGGAACATAGTACCTCTTTCTGAATTCCCCCTTCTAAGTTCTAAAGTACAAAGAAAAGACCTTTACTTTTTTGCATGATGCTAAGTCATTTATTCTCATTCAATGGACAATGATACCAATGGGCTCTATTCTTGGCCAGAGCTAGAAAATGTGGGGTCCACCATTTATAATAAGAAGCTAGTCCCACTTAGCCTCTTCAGCACTTCAATATTCCTACCTGTAAAATGGTGATAATGATGCCTGTCTTCCTCATATGGTTATAGAAAGATAACATAAGGAAAATAGCTCTTTGTACATGATAACTCACTGTGTGGATGTAGGCTGCCATTATTAGATGGCATCAAAATATGTAAAACAGAATGCCACCTTTCCTGGGCAATTCTATGTTTAAAAACATTTCCCCCTCCCCAGAAGTAATTTGAGCTCTCATCAGCACGATATCCTTGCCTACTTTGGGCTCTTATGACTAGAACCTCATTATTTTCATTAAACAAACAAACAGACAAAAACATTCAACTATTCCAGAATTCTACTTGTAATTTCTCATTTTTGTGTTTTGTTTTGGGGTTTTTATTTTGGTCTATTTCCCTCTTTTTATCTAGGAAGTCACAAACCATTTACTCGTCTATCATCCATTTTATTAACAAGCTCCTCTGAATTATAAAATACACAGGCAGAAGAGATCTAGAAGAAAATTGTTCCAGGTGCCCTCTTTGCATGTGGTTTAAATAGTTGAACACAGACTGAAAGAAAGTTTGCTGGCCTTTGGGTCTGTAAATTGATAATAAAAAACAGGCAACATAAAAGAGCCAATTACTTCAGTTTGAATGAACACAATTGGATCTTCCCTTAGAACGGTTTAATCAAAGCCAATAATATCAGGGACAACTTATGAAAGTACAATTGATTTTATACACCATTCTTAATATTACAAAACACTTCCAATTAGATCGACTTATTCTCCTCATATAAATACAGCCACATATAAAACTGCTGTTAATTGAAGTCATTTAGAAGTGAATTGTTAAAGATTCAACAATCCAGGCTGATATAAAATACTCAAGGGTTTTTATTCAGAAGCTTCTATCTAATGTTAATGCATAACTCATTTTCACTGTAGGG